CACAGCATTGTGTAGTTAAAACAGTGTCAAATTGCATTATTTATGCAGGGTAGATTAGAACCAAGTTAAATTAGGGCCTTTACAGACTGCCAGAAATAATGCAGCTTGAGACCACTTTAACTGCCCTGGCCCAATGCTAGGGAATCATTGGAACTGTAGTTTATTGTGGCACCAGAGCTCCTTGACAGAGAAGGCTCAATGTCTCAGAAAAAAATACAATTCCCATGATTCCCTAGCATTGGGCCAGGGCAGTTAAAGTGGTCTCAAGCTGCATTATTTCTGGCAGTCTGTAAAGGCCCATAAGATCTGTCAGTCTGCAGTCTGTGTTGGTTCAAATAAATCACATGTGAATTCAGAGGTCAAAAAGGTTACTTTTTTTGGAAGACAACAACCCAGCAATATATTCGCTGGTATTGGTACTCAAGCTGGCTTTACAATTACAAATGAAAATACATTATATTAAAAAAAACACCATCAAAATAGAATTAAACAATGTTTAAAGACAGTTTAAAACATAAAAATATTTTAAAAGCCTGTTTAAAAACAATTCAATGAAAGCAACATGGTCCCAAGCATTTTGGAAACACTTCTGGTCCCAAGCATTTTGGAAAAGGGATACTGAACCTGTAGTATATCTAACCCCATAGCTACACTTCCCATGAGCTTCAGTGTGTTTATAGAACATTATTTTTTCCTACTGGAAGCAGATAGAATAGGGAATTGTTTCAAGAGAATTAATGGAAGTGTTCATAAGCAGATGCAGTGTTTTTTCAGCTGGAAATGGATGATTTGTAACAAGTGTTAACATCTTTAATTGCTATAAGGCTCTCCACATCTCTAGATGCAGTCAACTAAGTCAGAACTGCCATTAAATATATTATGGACCGCATACATTAAACATTATGAAATAACATTCAGCTACCTACTTTAGCAAGTAATTATGATAGTTAATATTATGCAGAGGATAATTAGGAGAACAAACTCCTGGTGGACTATAATGGTAAACAACCTAAGCTAACACAATAAACTGTACTTTGGGTTGTGTATGCATTTGTTTTGACTCCATTGTTCTGTAATTAGCTATATCATTTCAGAAGAGCTTTATAAGCCAAACACGATTAACCTGACTAATTGCTTATGGACTTCAAAACTTTCTAGGAAAAAAAAATATGCACACAAAGTTATTATTATAAGTGCGCATCTGCATTTTTATTCCCACAATGGTCAGTCTGTATCAGAATCATAGACTTATTTAATAAATTATATTTCTTTAAATGATGTTTCTTTAGCATTGTAAGCAGATGTTCACATGTTTACAACCTACTCCTTAACAATACTCCACAGAAATCAGTCAAGTATGTGGGACTTGCATGTTCCTACTCATATGCTTATATAAAAGCAAACCTGACTGAGTTCAGTGGGACATAATTCCTTTATTAGAATCATAGAATCATAGAGTTGGAAGAGACCACAAGAGCCAT